GATGGCTAATATTTACTTCCATAGTCACTCCTACTCCCACAATGCAGCCCTGCAGTTTTTTGATACTCTCCTTTAGCTGTTCGTAGTCTTTTTGAACGTTCCCTCTTCTGACATTGCACACTGTAACGCCATATTTCTTTAGTGCCTGACCGTTATTTGATCCCTCCCCTGCATTGACGACCCTTATTTTAAAATTGGCGTCATAACTCCGCCTCACATGTCTGCAAACTTTTCATCCACTCCGTTCTGGGGAGCGACTCTCCATATCTACCACCCTTGTCACTTCTCTGTTGTGTTTTCCATCTCCATGAGGTCATACTGGCTTTACAAAAAAAAAATGGCGCCCCCTCTGCTTTTGTGTTCGTGTAGCGACCTCAGACAACTGCCAGCCTGTATAATTGGTTAGACCCTGAATATAAGACCACCCCACATTTTGACATCAATTTTAACTGGAAAAAAATGTCTTGTATTCAGGCCAATGCGGTAAAAATGTTGAAATTCCAAAATTAATTGACCTTAAATTGAATTTAAATATAACTAATATATATTTTGGATCTTTTTTAAGTGGGATTTTTTTTTTATTACTATATTTTCCAAAGAATTTCAGTAACCCTTCGGAATGGGTTTGTTCTCCTTTTGCAAGTTTTTTCCTTCAATTTGAGGCACGGTGATATTTATTATTTGGCTCTCTAGATTATAAATTATAATCTAGAGAGCCAAATAATATTGCAGACTCCTGCTGTAAAGCAATACAAAGAAATATTTAATTTTCTAGTAAAAACTAGCCAGTTAATTTAAGAGTCTCCCTTTTCCAACCCAGAACTTTATAAGTTCTTATGTTACAGTGCAAGTGATTATCCTAAATTTAGGAACAAAATCCCAAACACCTACATTAGAAAAGAGCTTTTAATTGAATTTCCCTGTTAATGTGATGGACATGTTGGTGTCCAAACTAATTTTAAAAAAAAGATATGCAAACGCTGTCTTTCGAAGGCTTTGCTCGAGGCCAGAGCTGCTTTTCTAAATTCATTCAGATTTTTTCTCATTCTGTTTTTTTGTGATAGACCCACAAAGAGTAGGGCAGTTTAGAGACTGAGAGAATTCTCATTAAAGCATCTGAAACTGTAGGATGTTTCTGTCTGTGATGGATCATCAATAACTCTGATATGGCTTTACTGTTCAGATAAAAAGTGATAAAGCCCACATGTGCACATTAATCTTAGACCCTCAGATGTTTGTTGGCGAATATTAGTGTAAAAATGTTTATCGTTGGTGATAAAAATAGAAAGTAAAAGCTTGGAGCGCTATTTAACAAATAATCCATTAAATAGAAATTATTAACTTTACGGGGAAACTAGACGCAGAAAACTGTTATTGATAGCTATCAGAAATCTTGTTTAAAGGAATAGTGGACCCAAAACATGATTAGCCTTCTTTTTCTACTCACCCCCATGCTGAACAACACCCTGGAGTACTTTTTTGATATCTCAAATGCATCTGGAGATCTGGGAGGCTTCTTGCTGTCTGCTGACATTCAAATAATGGAGGTCTATGGTGCCCGAGACAGAAAGGTCCATAAAAGTCCACAAAAAACGTGTCAATATTCCGCCATACTGGTCGTCCAATGTATTCCAAGTGTCCTGAGTGGGTAGCATCCAGAATTTACTCGAAACGAAGTCATTTAGAATGTTTTTAGAGCATAAACAGTAGTGTATAGTATTTCCTGAAAGCGCGCACCTGCGCGATCACGACGCTACGGAAGCCGGCAGACCAAACCAGATGAAAGTGCGCATTCAGCGTCTGCTCTTCCAATAATGCAAGCATAGAAGAAGAAATGTGCCGTTTACCTGTGCAAAGAAAGAAACAACGAAAGAAAAATGTCTGAGGACTTCAGTGTTGAGGAAGAGCATGAGTTCTTTGCCGAGCTGAATGCGCTGGTTTGGTCTGCCGCGGTTTCCGTAGCGTCGCGATCGCGCAGGTGCGCGCTTTCAGGAAATCCTATACACTACTGTTTATGCCCTAAAAACATTCTAAATGACTTTGTTTCGAGTAAATTTTGGATGCTACCCACTCAGGACACTTGGAATACATTGGACGAGCAGTATGGAGGAATATTGAAACGTTTTTTGTGGACTTTTATGGACCTTTCTGCCTCGGGCGCTGGGCACCTCCATTATTTGAATGTCAGCAGACAGCAAGAAGCCTCCCAGATCTCCAGATGCATTTGAGATATCAAAAAAGTACTCCAGGGTGTTGTTCAGCATGGGGGTGAGTAGAAAATGAAGGCTAATCATGTTTTGGGTATACTATTCCTTTAAAGGTTTTTCCATAAGCCACATAGGGAACACAGCATTTATGTGGAGTAAGGTACTCTAGAGCAGGGATTCCCTAGCCTGGGTGCCATTCCGAACTTAGTCCCGCCCACAAGGTTTGAGGTCGGGAAGTTCGGTCTGGCTCTGCCCCATAGTAGCGCGAGTATTATCGCCCACCCTCTGGCGATCCAATCAAATTGTCAGGGCGGGCTTTATACGATGATGGACAGATGATCAACAGTAACGTAATCAAACACGTGACCAAAGCGCGCTTGGGTGACAACAACAATGGCTGCCGCCGGAGAGTTGAGGTGAGTAGATTCTGCTATTAGGTCTGTTCTAGAAGATATCGACAGCAAATTAATTTTAAAAGAGGAAAAGAGAAACGCGATCAAGGCTCATCTTCTTATTCTAGGCGTGCAACTGCACGGTTTGATTTTTGTTGACAACAACTATGCGTCGCTTAACATACGTCACGCACTCCGTTGCTCTTATTGGTTGTAGGTCTATCCAATTGAGTGCAGAGGCATTTTTTTTCCTGGTCCATTCAAAACACGCCCCATAATCACAGCTCTATGGAGCAGTATCAGACTCATATTCTGACTAGAACTGAGTAGGACTACGTCAGGCTAGGGATTCCCAACAGAGGGCACACATACCCCTAGTGGTCAGCGAGTGCATTGCAAGGGGTTCATGAAAATCTTTTATTTCTTTGGTAGTAAAATAATATAGTGCTGGGATCTGTTTTGCTTTGTGAGGACCAATTGAAAATTTAAATAAGCTTTTATCAACCAAAAAGTAAGTTATCCTTATATGTTTGAGTTCAACTTCAGCTTTGACACGTATTAAAACCAAGCAGAGGAACAGACTGGTATCAGCTGTTTTTCACACAGAGATATCGGAGTTTATCAAAGCAGCTCAGGTATTTGGTTGAAAACAAAGTAAAACTAATTAAGTCAGGCTGACTATCATTTTTGTTCTGTATTTTGTTCCCAATTCCTTAAGTTTAAATCTGACCATAAGGGAGTTACTGAGAGGAGCTCGTTTTTATAAATACAGGTTGATGATAGGACTTTATTCTGTATTTATTTCAGTTCCTTACTAACTTCCAGGAAACAATTTGTTTGGTTTTTTTTGCAATGGAAAGAATAAAATGCCCAAGAATTAAATGCTGAAATTAAAAGATTTAAGTGAAATAGTTTTTATTTTATAATCAGTTATTGTAAGTTCTACTTTTAGAAACTGATCGATTGACTCATGGTAATCCAAAATGTCCAAAAGGACAAAAAAGGTTGGGAAACACTTGTCTAGACAGATGAGCCTAAAATTTGACTTTTGAGCCTATTTTTAGCCTACACAACACTTAATAAACACCATCTCTATCTTTGCTATAAGAATCCTGATGTGTGGATGCTTTTCTTCAGCAGTAACAGCAAAACTGGTCTGAGGTCCTGCTTAAACAGGTGCAGCTATAACATGGCAAAGCATGCTGGGAAGCTTATCTCAACCCCAGGGAATAAAACTAGTAGGGTTTGTACACCTGACTCCTAAATGTATGAATATTCCAACAAAGTTTTTCGATTAAAAATGCCAGCCACACTTTTCAGAATTTTATTTCTAAAAAGCAATATCCCACTTTAAGAAGTTACTGATTTGTTTCCTATTGAGCAATTCTAAATAAACCAATGAACTGTACTGGATCTGTTCAAGAGGTTTTATTAATATAAAAAAAAGGCCTAAACTATAAAAACAGATTAAAGTAAAAAAAAAATGGTTTACAAACAGGCACTGGAATAAGCTTCAAAAGCCACCACTTATTTATCCTTATTTCTCTTCATATTTTGCAGTGGTTCCCCACCCTGTGTGCTGGAAAACCCTCCTCCTCGCCCTCTGGCCAGCTCCCCTGCAGGCCTCTCGTCCTCCCAGTATCCCTCCCGGCTTGGCATTTCAATGACCACCAGGGTCGGGGCTGCTGTAGAGAGCGGCTGTCACAACGGCAGCATGTTCTGCTCCATCCTGTGAATTACTGGACAAACACTCGAGGGGGGGATGATGTTGCTTTCACTTTAGCAACTGATCAAAACAAAGTACTGACTTTTTTTGTCAGGTGAAGTTGATCATTTAAAAGGACAGTTTGAAAGAATTGTGAGATCAGTTTTATAAAAGGGAACCTGTTTTTTTTTTTTTTTAGGGAAAGCTGGGAAAATTTAATAAAACAAAAGATCAACCCCATCCAGATATCTCTAGACTTGTTCCTTGTCACCGCAGACTTGTCTTTGTCTTTCTGCTTCTGATAGTTTGTGTTTAGAACGTGCACTTTAACAAAACCAAGCAGCAGGATGAGGCTTTAGAAATTATATCTGGTTTGGTACATTAGTTCCTCTTTTGACATTTTTAAATGAAAAATTGTAGCGAAGGGGTTTGGAGAGATGATTGTATGAACTGAATATGCAACAAAAAGCCAACATTAAGCTTCTGCCTCTTGTAATGTGTGTTTGAAGGGGAGTTTTCCAGGCTTTGTCACTTTCTTGTAACCATTAGAAGGAAAAGGATGTTCAGTGCGCAATATGTGAAGTCTACAAATGTGCCTGTACTTTTAAGCTGGATGTTTGGTTACCAAGAGGTTGTTTTTTTGTTTGTGTTTTAAACATTCCCAACAGAAACGATACCAAAATAAGACGTGGAACCTCACATTTACCCACTTTATTTGTCTACAAAACATAATAAACAGCTCCTCTTTGTGGTGTTTCCATTTCCTTTCAGTCTCTCCATCTGTTTCTTCAGTCCTTAATGCATTTTCTTGCGTTTCCGTCTCTCAGCAAACTGGTCGTACTTGACCAGCGGTAAGACGACAGTGGCCAGTCTGTGGTCCCCACCCTGCGCAGCCTCGTCCCCTTTGGTCCGGGGTGGTTTGATCAAAGACAGCCCCATGGACTTTGCAACCTCGATCATCCTGTATATAACAAGTTAGTCAGTTTTTATTTAAGAAAGGGAGGGAAAAAAAAAAAAGAAAATATCCTTACTACCAGTAATACTGTCATGACTTCAGTAACACACTTGAAATCTAAATATTTACTCAAGTCTCCTTGATTGATTCATATCATCATATGATATCCTTACCTAATTTCTCCATTTGTTTTAACATTACGACAAAACCACAATAAATACAAATGAGTTACAAGGGGCAAACTTAACCTTACACTTTGTGGGGGAATTTTTAAAATACAAATGAGACCAGGCTTTAACTAGGCCACTTCGAAGACTTAAATTTGAGACATTCAGGGTTGGGCATCCTCCATTTTCACTGCTATAGAGGATATTCTGGTAGAGTAATTTATAGTTCCATCATTAACCATTTCAAAACTGTTACTCAGGTTATAGTACTCAGTAATAAAGTCTGTTTGCTTTCCAACATTTGAATGTGACCAAAAAAAGAATTTAACAGCACTGAGAATGAAAGCAGCTCTTACTTGGGTTCAGTGATTCCCAGATCCCGATGCAGTAGCGAGAGGTCGGCAGTCATTTGACCCATATGCAGCAGCAGAGCAAGGCTATATGCAGCTAACTTCGAACGCATTGATGTTGAAACGATGTTCTGCACCCTAAACATGGGAGGAAAAAAGGGTAAAGAAATGCATGTTGCAGAATGAGGCGTTGTTTAACAAAACATATTCCAAATAACAGCAAACAGAGCTAACAGTCACTTGGTCATCGTACCTCCCGTTGTTAAAAGACTCCACAGTGAAAGTTTTAAACAGCTTGCTCTGAATGATGCGAGGGCAGCCTTCATCGTGTCCAACTGTCCAGAAACAGTGATTATTGGAGAGTAAAGTGTGAAGCATTATGGCAAAAGGTGTAGACATTCTGATGAACTTATTGTTTTCCCCTCTGATGACTGGAAATTGTACGGCTGAACATTCAGTCAGCATCAGGGAGGCAATAAAGACAGAACCTCGGGCTGAGTTACAAGAACATTTTATCTCCTTTCCAAATTGCACCTCTGAGTGTTTGAGCTAAATACCTGAAACATCTTCATACTATCCAATGACCCTGAGAGCTTTGCTAAATGTTTGCTATGACATATTGTATTTTCTCTAACTTAAACAGGAGCTTATAATAAAAGGTTTTTGTGAATTGAACTTATTTACTGAGATACTGATTTTATGGGTTTTATTTTCAGAAAAAAATCTAAGCGGCAAGAAATAAAGGGTAGAAAATGTCTCATTTGTGTGCAATAAATGTTATTTTAGGTTTGAATTTTTAAAAGATAAGCGGTAGAAAGGTGGATTTACTCACACTTGCGTGGGACGGTCTTCTGCCTCGCCAGCTTGAGGAGCAGAGAGAGGTAAAAAGCGCAGCGTGCCGCTTTCTCTCTGGCTTCGCCCACAGCTGGCATGTTCTCTAAATGCCTCACAACACTCAAGCACCTTCAAGAAGTATAGATAAAATTCATCATGCAGGAAACCTTCTGATAAACCCTAAATATTTCAGGAAGGGTGAGACCTTTTTTACCCTACCTTCCTTCATCTCTCATCTTCTTCAGCTCTTCTGGGGTGAGTGCTGCCATCTTGGATCCAGGCTGCTCCAGTGCAGCAAACTCCACTGGATCCAGCACTGAGGAGGCCAGTTAAGGGTGAAGAAAAGCTCTGCTGTGGAGATTAATTTACAATCGCAACTTTACAGTTACACACAGACATGAAGGAAATAAAGGATACGCTCATCGAATGGGTAGACGTCCTCTCTTTGGTCTGCGTTCGGATTGCAAGGAGGCAGGTGGGACGCCAGAGCACCCTGGGACTCTGTCTCCGCCACTTCCTGTTGGAGAGCTGGAAAGAATAACAGATCAAATCTGATAAAGTGATAGAAAAACAGACCAACCATGATCATATCGCTAATCAATTAACCTGTCTTTTTTTTTTTCAATTAATTGATTAACAAGCGAACAGCAAAAGGTTCCTTGAATTTTTTTTACTCAATTTAAACCAGGTGAATATAACTTGAGAAGTTCTGGATGGAGAATATTCATAGAATAAAACAGGGTTTTCAATTTTAAAGGCAAAATATTATTTAGTTTAGTTTTTTTTAATTTTTTTATGAACATTATGGTATAACTGATCTGTCAGCTAATGGCAAGTTTTAGAATTTCCATTCTCTAGTAGCTATTTATCGATTACTAAATTAGTTGATAATTATTTCAATAACCGATTAACTGTTTCAGCAAAAAAAAAAAAAAAAGCAGCTAAAGATGATAAAGATATTTTATTTTAAGCATTTCCACTGTCCCTACAGCTACAATTAACTAACATAACTTTACTAATTTGATGTTGAATCTTAATATTATTAATACCGGTATCAATAATTTATAAATAACAGTTAAACAAAAAACTTTTTTTATATCAGCATTGCAATTTCAGATCAAAACACATCGAAAAAAAATTATAATTTTTTTTTTAAAGCTTAATAATCAGCTCTTGAAAATTGAATCGATACCCACCCCCAATGGCATTATATTTTATTCCTTATTTTATTTGGACAAAGCAACAGGTGACCTTACCTTCAAGGCCCTTCTGATCGATCACAGAAGTGGCAGCTTTAGCCACTGCGCTCTGCAGGGCATTGCTGCCCACTTGGTTCAGCCTACGGGAGGCAAGAGCTCGTTTCTGTTTGTTGGTACCAAATGCCTCAATCAACAAGTCAACCTAAAGAAGAAAACAAAAAAAAGCAATTGGGCTGAAACATGACCGCTGTTATTTGGATCATGAGGGTTTATTCAAGAATGGGGGTTGGTGAGTGTACCCTGTCTCTGTAGGATTGAGCAGCATCCTGATGCTTAGCTGTTGACGTCTCCCCTGGTAAAAAAAAAAAATTCACAATAATCACTTCAAGCTTTTCCTGAAACGTTCTCAGAGATTTCAAAAGATTTTAAAATGACTGGTTTTATTACCTGGGATAACAGGCTGCATGTTGAACAACACAGCGTTGTGTACTTCCATTTGCATGGTCTGTTTGTTCAGCACTCCAACATAATATCTGAGAAGACACCAAACATCATGTCTAACACTTCAAGTCAAACTTTTCTATAAAATCATCAAAAAAATAGTTACATGTTCTGTTAGTTTTGCTATATAAGTCACATTAAAGCCACATCAGGGGTTATATAGTACATAAAAGAAGATGATTGGATATATAATCCCATTTCTTTCTGAAAACAGGCAAATAAAATCCAGTATTGATATATACAGAAATAGCCAGATTAGTAAATAGTGTGACATTTGCAGTATTCATCCAGTTGATCTGTAAAAGCATTTGATAATTTTTATGAGGGTGTGAAAAAAAGCATAATAAAGACAGGGGAACACAGCAGAGAGTACAAGAGTGAAGTATTTTAAAGTAGTGTTAGAGAAAAATAATCTCACGCTGGAGCCCTATGCAACCTGTGATCTTAAAACACTGCCATCTATTTCAACTATCTACTTTCAACAAGGCAGAGCAAAGAGAGCATATCAAAAAAGCTCTTGGTAAATCTGGTGGAGCTGCATAAATCCAGCCGTCAAGTTCGAGAATCTGCCGACCGGGCGACGAACAGTCATGCAATCCATAAATCCAGTCTTTATAAAAAAAAAAAAAATTAAAAAAAAAAGGGCCAAGTTCCTTATCAGTTTTTGCAGTTTGCTAAAAAAAAAAAAAAAGTAGCTGAACCTAATATATTCTACAGCAGTAGTATTTACAGCCCAAAGTTACAAGGGATGACAAATTGTATTTTCAATTTGTTAAAAGTAAAAATACATAATGCATTTCCAAGTTTCCATTTAAAAACAACAAGCTACTATGTGAAGGAGACACTACATTCCCTGTGATACAAGCAGAATAAAGCATATCTTAAGAATATATCGGTGAAAATGCAGTTAGACACTAGATAGATAACCATAGGGGTGTGGAAAAACATCGTTTGGTGATGTATCGCGATTTTCAGCTGCCTGATATAATATCGATCTTTCAGTTCCTAGAATTGATTTTCTAAAAAACAAAACATTTTTACCTAAAACTATAAGGGAAAATGGGCTACCTCTGCACCACCGCTCTGGCAGATGACGCTGTGGAGGCTTTTAGCTGTGCGGCGCAGCCCAACATCTGTAGAAGACGCAGTTACAGTGGAAGACGAGAACTGACTCAGATCCCAAACAACAGGGATACCAAAATAACTAAATGATCAATATCTTCTAATGAACATATACAGCACTTTTTTATCAATACATTTAATTTTGATAGATTGCATCGCTATCCAGGTACCTCAATATATATTGTATTGCAACATCCATGTCGATACTCACCCCTAATAAACAAGCATTAATTGAAATTAATTCCATTTGTATTGTTACTGTTTGCTTCAGTTTTACCAAGCAGCCATTATGGCTAAGATCAGTGAAGGAACACGTAAGGGGAGTGTTGGCCAAGTGGGTTAGAGCAGTGAGCTTGTGCTCTGAGAAGGTTGCAAGTACAGTGGGTACTGGTTGGAAATGGACGGTTTCCTGCATGATTCCTGTGTGATTCCCACGTGAATCACGATGTATTTCCTGAGGCCAGTTTTTTTATTTCAAAAAGAACTGCAATGTACCCGGACAACCACCAGGCGGCACTTGGGAACTTTTTTTTTTCCTCCTTAATCCAGGCTGTTATTTAGATGCTGTCTTTAAAGCAGGTTTATTGGGGATCTTGGTGTGATATTGTGCTATTTTATGATGTTTTTGATTAAAATAAAGTTAATGAATTAATTTAACATAGTGACTGCATTATCTTATTTCATGAAAATTGTTGCATACTGTATGGTACGGTGGCTGAGAAGTGCAAAACACATTTACAATTCAAAAACACATTAACAAATAAAAAACAAAATAACATTTGAAGAAACAAAATTATATTTTATGAAACAAATGTATTTTTGAAAAAAAAAGTTACAATTTTTAAAAACAAATTTACATTTTAGGAAACAAATTCACATTTTAAATAAGTTAGATTTTAGGTGAGAGAAAGTTTCATTTTAGAGAAAAAAAATACATTATAGGGAAACAAATTTACATCTAAAAAAAAATTGACCGTTCGGAAACACTTGTACAAGTGCAAAGACAAAACTGCAAGTGGCAAAACACAGTTACATAGCCAAAAACAAATTAACAAAAGACGGCTACACGGAAAGGGAATGTCCCAGTGGCCGGATGTGACGTCACGATTACCCTGACTTGTAGTACAAACAGCTCAATCTGTAGTCCTCCTGCTTCACGTGAAAAGTCAGCGGCGATTTTAGATGGAAAGAATTGCACTGAAGCTGTTTTTCTTAAGTTTACGCTAACCGAACAATGTTTTGCCCTTATTGTGGTCTCTGGAAGTTTTATGGGACACGGACCAGATGGCAGGACCAAGCTGCAGGGCCGAGCTCAATTCGTGGCAGTGGCTGCGTTGCAGCAGTTCCGGTGGTCCTGCCACCTGGTCCGTGACCCGTAAAAGTTCCAGAGACCGTCTGCACGAAGAACAAAATGGTGTAATTGTGTAATGGCTGAAATTTGCTCCACAATAATAAAATCACCGCTGACTTTTCACGTGAAGCAAGAGGACTACAGATTGAGCTGTACTAGAAGTCAGGGTAATCGTGACGTCACATCCGGCCACTGGGACATTCCCTTTCCGTGTAGCCGTCTTTTGTTAATTTGTTTTTGGCTATGTAACTGTGTTTTGCCGCTTGCAGTTTTGTCTTTGCACTTGTACAAGTGTTTCCGAACGGTCAATTTTTTTTAGATGTAAATTTGTTTCCCTATAATGTATTTTTTTTCTCTAAAATGAAACTTTCTCTCACCTAAAATCTAACTTATTTAAAATGTGAATTTGTTTGCTAAAATGTAAATTTGTTTTTAAAATTTAAACTTTTTTTTCAAAAATACATTTGTTTCATAAAATATAATTTTGTTTCTTCAAATGTTATTTTTGTTTTTTATTTGTTAATGTGTTTTTGAATTGTAAATGTGTTTTGCACTTCTCAGCCACCGTAGTATGGGCACAGTTATAGATACACCCTGCGATCTTATCTGAGAACTGTTTATTTCTATTTATCTGCATCTCTATTATTTAATGAAAAATTATTATAATAAATCTTTTTGGCAAAACAAATAACTGAATCAATAAAGGTCCGTGGATCATCCGTCCATTCGGGAGGGAGGAGGGTTCATGCAACGTCATTCCATCGCCGGTATCTCGGTATCCAATCAGCTCACTGACTTGCGCGTTGATCAAAGCCATCTCTGACAACAGCATTGAAACACCACTATTTATCAAGACGGTCTGGCTGCAGCACCGCAGCTGTCAGACCAGTTCCGCTGCAGGCGCCTGTCACAGGCCACCTCCACCGTAGGGCTGGAAATAAACAAATTTAGCCACGCCCACCTCCCCCCAACCGACATCACCTTCTAGACGAAGAAGAAGGTTGTTGAACACGCGAGACTCCGCAACAATGGTAAGTTAATTTCTTACTTTTACCGCGAAGCAAAAGATGTCTGGCTTTCATATGCTTGTCAGCAATGTATCGCTGTAGCGTTATATGTAAAGCACGTGCGGTTACTGAATGTTACAGTCAGTGATGGGCAGTAGCACTGCTACATGTAGCGAAGCTATTAGTTTAACTACATTTTCCAGTAGCTTGACCGTAGCGTCGCTGCTTTATTTATCAAGTAACTTTCCAGTAGTGACGTTATTGTTTTTATCAAGTAACGACGTAGCGTCCACAAACGCTACAAAATCCAGGGCATAACTAAGTAATGAAAGCAGGTTTTCTATTTTTGAAACAACAATCAGAGTTATTTGCTGGACATTCACACATGAGCCTCTATTCTGCCTCTCCTGTCTGTATCTACGAGACATGCGCATGCGCACTGTAGTGGAACTCAAAGAATAACACCCACAGACACACAGCCACACACACAGGGTGGAGGAGGACACAGGAGCAGAGCGCCTATCTTCAGAGATTTTGAAACTTGTTGAATCCTCTGATAAAAAGTACGTGTTCATACCTAAAAAATCTTATCTGTGCAAATAAGCCTTTAAACATCTGGAGGAACAGCTCTCCCATGTATAAAAATAAATACATAAATAAATAAATGCTCAATAAATAAATGAACATTCAATTAATTACCCCCCAAAATACAATGAATAAATATGTAGGTAGTAATTAAGTTATACAGTGAGACACATATATATATATATATACCTATCTTAATTAGCTTCTTTATTTTTTCACCTTTTTTGTCAACAGTTTCATTTGTTACTTGAATCGACTGTTTAATTGAGGTCTGAAGAAGTTTTCTCTAAGGGAGACCCTAAAGAAATAAGATGCCTTTGGTAGGGTTTTGTTTTCCCTAGAGATGTCCATTGAATGCAAACTCACAGCCATGTCTCCATGTGTAGAACACTACACAGTACCTTTCATTTGGTTCTAATAACAGCAGATTGTTTATTTTTTTTGTCTACTAGTAAATACTTTAGTTTTTTTTATTATGCTGATCATAAAACAATTTTTACACTGTGTTATGTCATTGGCTGATCTTTAATAAATATTTTAACAAAGAAGGGGAAAAAATAAAGAAGCTAATTAAGAGATATATATACATTTATGTCTCACTGTATAATTTAATTTCTAACTACATATTTATTCATTGTATTTTGGGGGGGTAATTAATTGAATGCTTATTTATTTATTGAGCATGTATTTATTTTTCTACATGGGAGAACTGTTCCTCTATACCTAAAAAAATCTTATCTGTTCAAATAAGCCTTAAAACAGATATATGTAAACATCCTGTCTGGTAAATTAGGCCATGAAAATACAATATCTAAGTTTGGCTACTGCTCTCTAATGAGAATATCTTAGTGGCACTCATCAGATTGAACTATCTGGAAATTAAAGGCGCCAATAAAGTTAAAGCTGATATATTTTTCTCATTTTTATTTCAAAAAATTGACTGCAGTTGCTTGTTTTAATGAGTGTT